GATTGTCACTGGTCTGGATTCCTGGCCATATTGGCCTGGAAGGCAATGAAGCTGCTGACTCTCTCGCAAAGGAGGGTGCTGAAAGCGGCTTCATTGGACCAGAACCTGTCATTGGCATCGCTTTGGGCTTTGCCAAATAAACACTAAACACCTGGATGGCAAGAAGAGTTATGGACTTCTGGCTTACTCCAAGGCGTTTATTCACCCTTCGAAGCTTGATTCCAAACAGTTGCTGGACTACATTAGGGATGAACTACGATGTCTAACAGGCCTTCTTACAGGTCACTGTCATTTGAATCATCATATGCAGACACTTGGACTGTCGGAAGACAGTGTGTGTCGCCTCTGTCTGTAAAATGATGAAACAGCAGAGCATATACTTTGTGCCTGCCCGCTGGGGACCGAATCAGGTTTTTTGAGTTCGGCAGATCCGTACTCTCACCATCTGACCTGAAAGACCACTCACCATACAAACTAATCGGCTTCGTTAAGAAGCTGAGTTTATTTGGCCGAATATGAATAAGTGTGAGCCACAATAAACCCTTGTGGGTTGCGATGGAGGGTCACCTATCTACCTACTATCTATCACTTCAGAGGGCCAGCTCCATTTTTCCGCTTTCAATTCCATATCGTAAAAATTTAAGTGGAATATTCGAAAGCTCATATCCCTGAAAAGCAAATTGATCTCAATCCTCAAGCCATCTTTTGGAAGACAACCACGACTTCAATGTAAACGGCGACGTACTGCATATAGAAAATAATGGACAAAAATTAAATCTGCTGAAGTCGTTGGAAATAAATGAACGTAAAAAATCTAATTATCTATTGAACGACCAACAAGAAGTTAGTTTATCTCCACTTGAATTAGTATTTATGGAAAAAATCGTTAGTAACAATAATTTACCTGAATTTTACTAGTTCGAACTTCCATTGACTAATATGATTCGAAATCTATGAAAGAAACATTGAAAATCAGAATGGATAGCTGAAATATTGATTATATTAAGCAATGTATCATAAAATATAAGTACAATGAAACGATTAAAATAATCAAGATAAAAAATGTATATGACCACAGAGTAAAAGAGAAGAAATGAAAATAAAAATGAGCAAAACATTAAAGAAATAAATTGAAAAAATTAAAAAAAGATTTTAATCCAAGTTACTTTACGACGTTTCGATTGTTAATATCCACAATCATCTTCGGATGATGAGTGGACTATTCTCCCAGTAACCATTCCGTTGAATATTTTTTCTGATGATGCCTAGTTCCCTCCCGAGACCTTCCTTCGTATTACATAGCCCAAAAGCACGATCCAATAGAGTCTTGAAATATGAAAAGAAATTACAAAGAAATCATGCTCCATTTGCTACCTTACTGAAACTAATCATACGTATGACACTGGCCGGCAAGGGGCTTATCGTAATCCAATAGCAATTTAGTTGGGAGAGTATATACCTTCACGATCGCTCGCCATCAGCCGTGGCGTGTACTGTAGTGTTATTGGTTTTCACAAAGTAACGGGTCACTGTATTCAAAATTTCAAGCTCATATCCCTGAAAAGTAGATTGACCTACTTCTTTATGCCATTTTTTGGAAGACAACCACGACTTTAATATAAACTATGACGTACTGCATACAGAAAACAAAGGACAAAAATTAAACCTGCTGGAGTCGCTGGAAATCAATGAACGTGAATGGATAACCCACAATAACCATATTTTATCTTGTACTTTTTCACAAAGCAATTTCTAGCAATACAGCATTTATCGTTATCCAATTAAGTACCTTAAATACATTGTGCATTTAATATAGATCAATATGGCACTCCACAGCATATAATTTTAATGAATATTTTCGAAGATATTACAGATTTAAATTGCAGGAACATAGCGGTTGTGGCGATATCGGCCAGGGGGGGCGGCGGCGCATGCCTATAAATAGCGCGTCGAAGGCCGTGCTTCGCACTGTAGTACTTCATGATTAGCAGTGATCGCCCACGTTTATGTGTATGTTCAGTATCAGCATTGCACCCATGCGGAGACGGGGCAAATCACTAGTAAATCTATGAAATAAGAAAATGTGAACTGTGTGTTTTATTATATCTTGTTTCGCTCACCAAGTGATCATCTTCAAAGAGGAAGATTAAACTGGAAACTTACGCAAAGGTAACGCTATTTATGCTATATAGATATCCCATACAGGTAAACCATCCAGGTGTACCACCCATACAGGTATACCAACCTAAATTAATTTCACAATTTTGCCTTATCTATTATTTTACAATATATGTTGACCTGTTATAGCTGTATATAAAACAATTTTCAGCTATATAAAAATTAATTTCACAATATTGCCTATCTGAATTTATTTTTACAATGTGTCTTTATGTAGTAATCAGTAAACCCAACAACACTATTTCAACAAGCTTTGGTATAGGTCCGTCATCGTTATTCACAATATTATTGTGTTTACTTATTTCTACACTCTCATAGGCATCTAGTTGCCTGTTGTTGTTAACTTGTCTAACTAATCTTAATTTCACATCAATTTTTCACATTCAGACAACCAGACAGACAGAAACGGCTGCTCTTTCGGCAGAATGAGAAACGAAGGTTTGCACAAGCCCATGTAACCCGCATACAGCAAGAGCTTTAGTGGTGGTTACATTGAAAATGAGTTTGTGCGCATGGTGGCGAGCTCGCCATCGCGTTTGGCGCTTGCTGTTCTTCACAATGCAATTTGTACAAATTATCAACCTTAATTATTAGAGATTACTGATTGGTGACCAGGTAGTTTTAAGAACAGGTAGAGTCAGGTGAATTATTTGTTTGGAAGTGGTTGACAGTTTCATGGTGATATTTATAAAGCGGTCAATCTAGACATTGGAAGGTACATAAATTTACAACAAGCTGCAAACGCGTGTAATTGTTCAAAACATAGTTAAAAATGAGATTTTGAAATTCCAAATGATTGCGATCCCTGGAAAAAAAATTTTTTGAGGTCAAAGGTCAAAAATCTCGAAAAAAAGTATTGAAACATTTTTTGTAGAGAATTTTATGATCTACAGTTTTTATCTGAAGTTATTTTATGATAAAACTTACCGTTTTCCTGAAAATCGCGAAAAACAAATTTCATTCGAGATTTTTGACCTTTGATCTCGAATAAATTTTTTTCCAGGCATCGCAATTATTCGGAGTTTCAAAACCTTATTTTCAACTATGTTTTGAACAATTACACGCATTTGCAGCTTGTTGTAAATTTATGTACCTTCACTCTTATTTTTTAGTCTAATTTGACGGGACTATTACTACTCCGGACTTTCATTGTCTGATATGTTTCTATGAAAGAAACAAATGAAATTATAACGAATAGCTGAAATATCAATTATATCAAGTAATGAAACGTGAAATGAAAATACAATAAAACTAATGAAAAAATGAAAATGACCACAGTGTAGAAAGAAATGAAAAGAAGTATCGAAATAAGCAAAAATATAGAAAAGAAAATTCAGAACTAAAAACTGACCGAGAGGGAAATATCTGAATACCGAAAACCCACTCACACGGGACAGTATCTGAATCACGAATCCAACCACCATCAATCTGCCAGAAGAGGAATCATCAAGAATCTATTGGATCGTGCTTTTGGGCTCTGTAATACGGAGAAAGGTCTCGAGAGGAAACTAGTCATTATCAGAAAAGATCTTCAACAGGAGAATAGTCCACTCATCACCCGAAGATGATTGTGGATACTAACAATCATGAAGTAACTTGGTTTGAAATCTTTTTTTTTTCGATTTTTTCAATTTCTTCTTTGATTTTTTGCTCATTTTTATTTTCACTTCTTTATACATTTTTACTCTTTGGTCACTTTCATTTTTTATCTTGGAACTCCGAACTAGTAAAATTCAGGTAAATTATTGTTACTAACGATTCGACTGACTCTAGGAATTTTTTTCATGAAAATAAATTCAAGTGGAGAGAAACTAACTTATTCTTAGTCGTTCAATAGAGAATTAGATTTTTCACGTTCATTGATTTTCAACGACTCCAGCAAGTTTAACTTGTGTCCATTATTTTCTGTATGCAGTACATCGTAGTTTATATTGAAGTCATGGTTGTCTTCCAAAAGATGGCTTAAGGATTTTAGTCAATCTGCTTTTCAGGGATATGAGCTTTCGAATATTCCCGTTCAACTTTTCCGATATCGAATTCAAAGCGAAAAGATGGAGCGGACCCTCTGAAGTAATATATAGTAGTATTTTTGATGAAAATCTGTTGGATTTCCAAGATCGTTTATAAAGATAATGAGAAAAGTCCCAGTTCAATACTTCGTTCCAGGATGGTCACTTGATCTTTCATCAAATCATATTCGTAAAACCACTGAAAACTCTAGAAAATTCGCTGAAGAGAAAATCCATTTTTGATGAACTAGGGTCTGGCTACTCAAATGAAAGCCGAGGCGTGTCTTTCAACTCAGTTCAACTGAGTTGAAAGACACGCCAGATGAAGCCATTGTATGGCGAAACACGTGTTGCGTTTTTGTAAAACAATTTAGTGAAAATCTCACAATAAAGTGTTTTTGGAATACGTTGGTTTCCTATTGATCGAAAAGAGATTTCATATGATCAGGGACGTAATAAATAACTCACAAATCGGCGGTATACACTGTCTGGAACAGCAAAAATCGCAGGGGGGCAAATCTGGCGAATACCGTGGTTGAGGCATGATGACGGTGCAATTTATTTTTTAACAATACCAGGCGTATTGCCTGGTGCGTAACATCAAAATAATTACACCTTATTGACCGTACGATCATATGACATATAATTTTCAGAAATAATTTGAATGAGAATGAGGTAAGCTGGGTTCGTTCCATTTCCACAGAACAAAAATATTCATGACAATCAAGGTGAAAATTGTCGAGCTAAAAATATAAAATTGACGCATAGTAAAAGAATTACTTAGTTATTAAAAAATCAAATCCTTATTTTCAGATTCTGAAAGTGAGCGAGAAGGACTTCTTCGAAGAGATGGGTGTGTTTTTCATAAGCTTCGTCGGCCAATATGGATACGATAGAGTTTTGTCAGTGCTCGGCCGACATATGCGGGACTTTCTCAATGGCCTGGATAATTTACACGAATACTTGAAGTTTTCCTACCCGAGAATGAAGGCTCCTAGTTTTTTCTGTGAAAACGAATCTAAACAAGGGCTGACATTGCACTACAGAAGTAAGAGAAGGGGCTTCGTATATTACACCATGGGACAAATCAAGGAGGTGAGTAAAAACAATTTATGTGCACCTCGGTGGATGTGCTTGAAATCAGTTGAAGATGTTCGGAAACAAATTATTCACTATCGAAATTCATGATGTTCAACATGTTTCTCCTGCATTCTGACCCTCAGGTTTCATACACCCTGTATATATTATATTTACGCCTATCCTGAACATTATTCAGTCATATTCTTCATAATTTTCTGCTCGGTATATTCTTTTTGTAAAGTCTGTTTCAGACATATTTTTCAATTATGAATTACCATTTGTACTTATGTTTTTAAAAAGGTCAGTACAGCTCATTATTCTTTTTTTGAAATATGGTACACGTAGGATATCTTTTATGTCATTTATACCTTGAAATTTCTGATACAAGGTTGATCCCAATTAGTTGCATGGCATAAGACTTTGTTATCATACGGAGTCTATTAAATTGATGAACCAGTGGCATTTTTTCTAATGCAATGCTCTCTAATATTTTTGATAGAATATTATTAAAGTGTAACACTTTTTGTGACGTAATGTTATGAGAAGTAAATAGAAGATGGCTTCAGTATGTATTGGATCATTCAGCTCCATCGCAGAATGGTGTTGACCGTGTCGAACTACTAGTTCAAATGTCGGCCACCGATGTTGCTCGATGAGGTCAACTTCGCTTGGGAATTTTTTTTAAGAAAACATTTCTCGATCTAATTATTCCATACCCAACATTAAGGGAATACATAAAAACCGATTCTCTCGCAACCAGAATGCCGGTTTTTTCTATTGGAACAGATGAATTTGTCGGACCATCAAGCATTACGGAAATAATTCACATTCTGTCAATATCAACTGATATCAATGACCAAAAAAGTATCTCGATGCCTGAATTGGCCCATAAGAATATTTATTAGTGATAGGTTTGTATTTTTCTAAATTATCTGTCTTATTTTCACCTTCTGACAAATTAGAATCCTTAGGAGTTATACAAGAGTACACATTCAAAAGTATCGTTGATCTGGCAGTTCTGTAGTTGATATCATGAAGAAAGTCGTAAACCACCATACACTCAGATATTTGGGAGACTTCAACATCTTGAGCGATTATCAATATGGCTTTCGGAAACAAAGATCAACAGGCCACCTTCTATCGTATGCCAGCCATATCTGGAATAACGAAATCAAGAAACATGGAGTGTCAAAAGCTGTTGTGCTTGATATTTCCAAGGCCTTTGACCTTGTGTGGCATGAGGGTTTGCTGGCCAAACTTCGATGCTATGGCTTGTCCGATCATTTTTGTGTGTGGCTCTTCAGCTTCCTGAAAAAACGTTCTTTGCAAGTGACCGTCGATGGATATCTCTCGTATACTTTCACCATCAACGCTGGTGTTCCCTAGGGATCCATATTGCAACCAACCCTCTTTTTGTTGTATATCAAGGACTTATTGGAAAAAATCAGGAATTCCATATACCACCTTGCTGACTTGTTTCATCATTCCATTTAGATTCCAGGACATCAGCTACGGAGGCACATCTTCACCGGCAGCAGGAGTTTGCATATGAGGATCTAGAAGTGATTTTGAATTGGGATGAAAGTAACCAGGTTCAATTTCACAAAAACCCAGGTACCAGGTTTCTCCAAGAAGACAAATGTCTCCGAACCGGATATAATAATGTTAGGTCAGACAATTCCACTTTCTGCTTCGATAAGTTTGTTAGGGGTTAAAATGGACACCAATATGTTTTGACACAATCTCGCTGAAATTGCAAAGGCTGCTTCTCAAAAGCTTGAAGAACCAAACAACTGTTCACACCTCAGGAACGTTTGATGCTTCATAAAGTTCAGATCAGACCTTCTTTGGAGTGTTGTTCTCATGTTTGAAGCTTTGCCCCAAAAATACCGTGAAGTTGCTGGATCCATAAGCCATAAGCTTGATTGGAGACGCTAACATCACGTGCAACCTTGATAGCCTGGAACATCGAAGAAAAGTTGGAGATTTGTCTCTCTTCTATAGATACTTTCACAGGAAGTGTTCAAATGATTTGGCACATTTGATTCCACCAAGAGCGGTACATATCAGAAATACGCGACGGACTATGGCTGCTAATCGTTTTGAGGTTGAACTCAGTACACCCCGAACTTCACTGTTCAAGAACACTTTCATCCGGAGAACTGCGTTTATGTGGAATAAACTTCCTGAGAACATTTTCACAAATGGATTGAATCTCCAGCGATTCAAATTCAATGTGAATCGCTACTTTTGCACAGGCACCGCTCTGAGAGCACCTTGAGGATTTTCCTATAGTGCTTGTATTTTGTCCTTAACAAAAAACGTAATTAGGCATAGCATGCCAGGAGACGAAAAAAACAAACAGTTTTCTTCACCTCCTGAAAACGCCAACTTGGTTGGTGAAACGCGCATCGTGGTGATTGGGAAAAGTGCTTGTTTTAGATCCCTTTCACCCTGGAGGTTCTCGTTCAATCCTTCAATAGACGCACTCCTTTATCGGATTCCGTAGCCCCAGAGCTGGTTCAGGGCCTAAATTTGAAGTTGGTGATCCGTATCCCGTACACTAATCAGCTTTTTCGATGCCTTTGATACCTGACACCCAGTATATAGTAATTCTATTTCTGTCCGTCGTCTTCCTCAGACGGCATTCCCAGACTAGTCTCGAAGTCACTTTTGTGTTCATTAGTGCCCCCATAGCAGACCGGCTGTTGTGGTAATATTAATCCGCTTATTCCGTTGAGGCGTTAAATTATTGTTCCTTCTCCATTGCAGGAGTTCTGAAATGAAGATTTCTTTCTGCACAGTAAAGTATCCTTTCATATATTCGGTTATTGACCCTTGCCCGGATAACTATTCATTCTCCACTCTACACTCGTGCGGTTGAAGTATTGAACTGCGAAGTTTGTGATGAACATGTATTTCGATATCATGTGTTCTGGGAACATGTTTGAAGTTCATTCCTCGACATGTTTCAAAACTTATATTTTGACCAAACCCATGTAACTTGGTGTGTAGAGCCAATACATTTTGTCTGGTTTCAGCCCCCACGGCTTTTGGTAGATACGTCTGGTCAGCAAGAGTGCTACCTCTGTCTTTCTCTTCACTATTTCTAAATGATGGTTCAAGTTCAGCTTGGATTGAAGTATCACTCCCAGATATAAGACCTCCCCTAACAGATATTTCTCTCCACCTCGAAATTTTAGAGGTACTCAGCCCTCTGTTATGTTTTTTTCTTATTTGTTGTGCTTATGTTCAGCACAACAAATAAGAGGACAATAATATAGTGAAGAAACGCATGCGCTCCATGCGTTTCTTCACTATATTATTGTCCTCCACCTCATTATTACTTCATCGACAGAGTGCATCCAAGTTTTTGGACAGTAATTCCTTTCTTGCTTCTAGTTCAAATCTACTCATGAACAGCTTAGCTAGGAAAGAAGACACTTAAGAATTTTTCATTGCCGTGGTGTTCTGTTATCTGAAGAAACAGTTGTTTGACTGGAAGCAAATCTGTTTCATCCAGATTGAGTTGTTGAACACGTACGTGATACTAGATTCTTGGATCTGATTTGAAGTCTGAAAATAGTGAAGTATGATACGAGAACTATCAATGGAATTCCTATTCCAAACAGCATACTATCATTAACCCTTTTCTTGAGTCACTTTGCATTACCGGGAACTTTCCCCACAAATTTCTTGCGTTTTTGCGCTCAGGAATCAATGACATGTGACTGAAACTAAGGTTTCATTCTGTTAGATAAAAATTAAAGAAAATGGGAATAGTAAATTGCTATAATTCATTTTCCTGATAACACCAACTTGGTTACCGAAATTCTCGTTGAGAGTAATGTTCATCCATTCAAATGTGGGTCCATTCAAAGCCAAGAATCCCCGTTCTAGCCTTCACATCACGTAGTGTGCTCACTTTCTTGTTGAAGGTTAGAAACCCAGAAAAATTCAAAAACGTCACGATCAGCAGTTTATCGCTCACTAATATTTACCCTGTGTAAGTCTGATCATTCTTTTATCTTTTTCTCCAGTTCCTTATCGATATACAATGGTTTTTCAACAACGCATACTTCTTGAAAGAGATTCGGTCTGACATCTCTTCATTCAGAAATCAAACATGTATTGTTCTATTCGGATTGACTTTCTCTGTAAGTTATCTGTACCTACGATAAAAACAAGTAGTAGAATCTTTGATTCGTAAATTGAAAATGCGGCAAGAGAGTTTCTGTATGTTATTACTGAGGGGATTTGATATACATCAAAGAAAATATTCCGCTCCACTTATCAATGTTGGATTCGAGCAATATGCAAAGTGGAGGATCAACATGTGTCTGGATATATCTGGATATTACTTGAGATGGGGGAAACTGAGGAAACTAAAATAGTGTTTCAGTTTTCGAAATTTGTGTTTTTCCTAGTTGTTATTATAATTTCCTGAATATTAGCATTATATTTTCCACACCATTATCACTCATATAACCAGTGAAGTGTTCTCTTAAAGTTGCAACTTTATGAAGAATCCCCTCACCTGCGGTTACTTGACCAGCACTTGAAGATATTTGACAGGCTTACTGAAAATGCTCAAAAACATCAGACTACAAGTTGAAAACCCTCCATACGTTGAATGTATAAGAAACATAAGCACAAATCTGAAATGTCTGAATAAATGATCAAAGCTATCAGAAAGGGAAATATTGCTAGTGACTTGAATCTTTATCTCGTCGTTTTTATCAAAACATTCTTGACTCTCTCAAAAATACTAAGAATAACATTTTCAAATCCTGCACCTGATATCAGAGACCACTATACCCATCAAGAGACTACGGTAGACTGAAGTGTTACTAGCACCATCCTGACTGAAACCCAGCCTATCGGGTAGAGTCGGACTGATCAGCCCTTTAGTTACCGACTTTAACCCACTCGACCTGAGGAAAGCGAAGGTCAGGGACTTCGATGAACCAAGGTCTCTGAAGTTGTTAAAGAATAACATGTGCATTATGTCGCCG